CAGCCTGCCTTGCGGTGGAAGAGGACACTGTCTGAGTACTCTKTGAGTTGTCACTACTGTTGTTGGTGGCAAGATTCCCACTTGCTGTGTGGCCCTTATGTTGCCTTTTGTCCTTTCTCAGAGCAGCTGGCTTCAAATGAGGGTACAAGACCCAACATTTCTCCTTTGTGTGTTTCTCACCACCACAGTGGGTACACTTGAGAGACTTCTTGTCTGAAAATCTATTCCCCTTACTGGAAACTAAGGCTGAATGTTCTCCAGGTAGTTCTGTTGACTGTGTCTGGGAGTCAACTTGCATCTCCTTTCTCCTTACTTCTTCATTCCTCACCAGGTAGTAGACATGGTGAAGCTCAGGTAATTCATCTCTCCCTAGAATCTGTGACCTTAAAAGGCATGAGGCATACGCCTAGAAGTGTGCCTCCAAGAGAGGTGCCCCCAAAATGACCAAAGGAGCATGCTGGAAGCGCTTATGCTTCTAAGGAGGCTTACACTCCTTGCGTTCTGAACTATGCCTCACGCCTCCAGGTAGTGAAATGCCTCACATCACACCTCTGCATTTTAAAACATTGGGATGAATATAAAAGTATATGGTACAACCAACTGCCCCAATGCCCCTTATAAAATAAACTTGCATTGGCAACTTAATATCCCAGCACTAGAGCTGGGTCCTGTTCTCCTAGACTAGAGGCCATCCATTTATGGCCCCTTGACCTCAACTTGATAAAACTGAAATTATGACAGAGGTTCTTTGGGAAACCCAAGTAACTCAAACATTAGAGTACCCAGGCATTAGGAATCAAGTAGTATCTACATCTTCTCAATGTCTGAGGGGAAAGTGCATTCTTGTGAAGCAGAGGCTTTTTCTCTCTTATTGAACCTCAAAGTTTCCCTTTCTCTTGGCCTGGATGGATTGGTTGTAGAAGGTGGAATGAGTGTTGTATTGTGTCTATGTCTGTTTGTCCTAGAGTTCATTGTCATTTGGTTAGAAAGACTTGAGTCCTTGGATACCAGGATGTACTCACAAGTGCCTAAAACTGCCAATGACTTTACAGACTCTCTCTCTGGAAGGTCCTTTCAATCTGGGGATCTTTTAAATTTGTAGTAATTGTTTTTTTTCTTTTGTTTTTGTGTCTGGCTTTCACAGTTGAACCCCTACTCCATTTTATTCTGCTCTCTCTCTCTCTTTTTTTCTTTTTTTAATAACAACAGAAGTATTTCATTAAAGCAAAACTCCACACTGCCTACAAATGTGGACAGCAGACCAAGAGAGAACAAAGAAAGCTCCAAAAATCAAGGAGCAGAAAGATACAGCTATAGATCTATTGCATATTACAACCCAGCCCAAGGAAACCCCACTCTTTCTCCATTAATAAAATTAATATTTTGGATAAAATTAATCTTTACCAACTATCCAGCTCAACGAAATCATGATATGATCCATTGATAACCTACTTCCTAACTATTTAACCAGGAAATGATCAAACAAAAAGTTAGCAATTAAACATGAAGCCATTTTTCTCATCCACTGACACATTCCTACATTGATCTCCTCTTGCCAGTTAGAGGTTTAATGTCTAGAGAATCCTTTGGAATTCATTGCCTTTTCACCTTACTGGACCATATTATAGAAAAGGAATGTTCATATCTTCAAAGGAAAGAGATCTGATGCTAACCCCATCAAAAGAAAGATTGAAATGTATTGATTCTCAAAGCGTTTGGGGGTTTCTACCACAACCATTTTTGGATACATAAAATTTAAAGAGCATACTTGTACATTATTTTACATGGTTCCAACTGATTAACCATGTAAGATTCACAACATCAAAATAAATTAAATTATGAAACTATATAGAGTCTAGATAACTACCAGATCAGGAATTGTAGAAAACAATGCTTTGGAAATACCCAAAGAAGCACAATCTGCTGGTGTTCCTGCAAGTAATGTCATAATTAGATCTTGTAATGAAACAAATCTTAATTAAAAGTCAAATTGAATGTTCAGTGATCAATTTGCTAAGGAAATTGAAATTGCATGTCTATCAAACAAATGATAACCCTGGTCACATGATCATCTGCAATTGGCACTGACACACAATCAAATCATGAGCACTTGGAGAGGAAGTGAATATCAAGAAAGCAAAAGAATAAAATGGTAAGTAGTGGCTGAATATGTAATGAATGTTAATCTCCTAGTCATATAGTTAAAGTGCAGTGTTAATTGATTTCTATGATGCTTGATTAAGAACCATAGATGAACTCTAAACACAAGATAAGCTCTTCTTTCATATTCTCAAGAAATGCAATAGAAACTAACAATTTGATATGTGGCACGGATCACATTAACCTCACTATTCACTCTTACCTTTTGCCCTCTCTCTATCATCGCAATGGATAAAAGTAGTCTTATCTGGTAAAATAACTGACAGACAGGTGTACATGTACATAATAGATAAAAGAAAAAATAATGCAAATAGTTTTTCCAAAAGCAAAAGCTAAGACTAAGTTGTAACTTTTTCCTGATAGTCATAATTGAAACTAACATCACACACTAAGAAATGTAAGAAGCTGAAATTTATGAATGATGATTAATAGCAGCCTCTACCTTAAACCTACTGAGATGATCAGCATCAAGCCCAGAAAAGCTACCCGAGTTGGTTGGCCATCTAATCGGTCCCACTTTCTTAGGGCATATTCATATTGTAAAAATATGTACTAGTGCTATAGCTTCAGAGTAAAGGGACATACGCCATTGCACCATTACCCAATATTGGTCCTAGCTATCCTAGGTCTTGAGAGAATAGACCAGATATGGACCTAACTTTTGGCATCTTTTGCACAAAGTGACTGCTCTCAGACTTAAACCCACATTCTCACGCCTGTCGGTTCAAGATTGTTATTATTGGACCAAACAATGGACCCCTAAATGTCTTTACCTCAATAATCTATTAAATTAATGTAAAAGTACCCAAGACTCACAATTGCAAAATCTGAGAATATGCCAATAAATGGATTTCATGCATGATGGTTGCAGCATTAGAATCTTTACATTAAACATTGCACTTATATCCTTTCCCTAAAGCTTTCTTCAATTTTTCAGCATGATTTTTTGTCTACTAATATCGTTGTCTAGTCCTTTTAAGATGTTATAAATGGCCACCCACTATATTACACGCTCAGATCTAGGGGTGGAAATGAATGGAGCTTTTCATGAGCTATTCGAGCTCGCCTCATGAAAAGCTCAATTCGGCTCAGTTTAAACCAAGCTTCGAGCCAATCTCGAGCCCAATATATAGTCTTGTTTTCTAATCAAGCTGAGCTTGAGCCCAGTGAAGCTCGGCTCGTGAGGCTTGCAAGCCTAATATATACATACATATAAGTTATATATATATATATATTATATGTGTAATAATATTTATATATATAATATTTTTATTTTTTATGTATAATAAAAAACAAATTTTAATAAAAATTATTTGTATATGTATAATAATATTATTATATATAATATTTTTATTTTTTATATGTATGGTAATAAATAATTTTTTTTGAGAAAATTTAACCAGAACTTATCAAGAAAAAAAGGGGGGATCAAGGGGAGTTATACAAAGCAGGGGGAACCCCTACAAGTTACAAAGGAGGAAGCTTGTTGCTATACAAATGCTCCAAATACACACCAAATTTAGCTAGGCCATCTGCGGTATGATTGTGTTCCCTATGAATCCAAACTAAATTAACATTCAAACCATCCAAAGAATCCCAAGCTTCAGTCAGATAATGATACACACCAAATTTATTCTTAATTTTTTGTATGTAGAATAAAAAATAATTTTCATATGTATAATTTTTATTTTATATAGAAGCTTGGCTCACAATCAAGCTTGAATTCGAGCTCAAGCTCAAGCCTAACACATTTTTGGCATGACGAGCTTGAATAGCCAGATATTCAGATTGGCTTGGCTCGAATACACCCCTACTCAGATCATTGTTACCTTGCAAACCTCCATTATAAAAGCATACCCACCTAAGGTTTTACAGAAAGGTTTTGGCCCTACTCTAATTTTGGCCCTCATGTGGAAGAAGATAAATACAAAAGGTTTTACAGAAAGGAAAATACACACCTTACCACTTATAATAATGTGTATTACATGTCAAATGACTAAATCCAAACAATAAAGATAATTCAAATGAATAAAAATACACATTAAAGAAAAAATCTGTACTAAATAAGATGTTGAATCAAAGTCAACAATTGCATGCTAGAACCAACCAGAAACTGCATAAGCTGTTGTTCCTTCAATTTCAACTCTGTTCACAGAAAGAGCATGACGCCATGTAATGCTGTGACTAACAGCAGATTTTTCCCTGTCAAAGTGCAAAAACAAGGATATAATGACTCCATTAATCTGTTGGCACTGCTTGAACAGTTAACTTTCTATAATTAGATAATCAGAAAAAAAGGATTACACCCTTTAACCTGCAAAGCACATGACTCACACTAATGCATCAATAATGAACATCCAACTTGTTTGTTTCCTTGTAAAAGCCATAACTCTTTACCAGAATATGGTTGACTATCAGGGAATAGAATTCTAACGTTGGGCAATAGAATCTTGTGATATGTAAAGATATTTAGTTCGGATACGTGAGTCAGTAATCATACATTACTGGATTAAAAACATAAATGTTCTATTTTTGTCATAAATGAGTATATTCTCTATGCAATAAACCCCAAACAAACAGACTAAACAATAAATAGTAAGTGAAAATACAAATTTCTAATATCAGACTATTTACTTTCAGGAACGACCCTGAGATCAAATTACAGATTATTTCTCCAAACGATAAACAGGTTAGCAGTGCACTACTGCACTGCAGATTCTGTACACACAGTATTGCTAGTGGCAAAAGAATTACAGGAACAAAAGCAGAATTAAAGAATTAGCATTGCAACCAGAGTAGACTGTAAACCCCACTCATGTCAAGGACAATTTTCTATCCCGGTTGCGGGACGAAAACCCAAGAAATTACATGCCCAAGTCCAAAAAAATCAAAATCTTCAACTAAGAAACCCATTTTCTAGAATAAGAAATCCTTCATGCCGGATACATTTAAAAAGAAAACAAAGAAAAGAAGTTAAACATCCGAAACTAATAATGCTCAACAACCATTAAGAATCAGCATTCATAGAATCAAATATTGATTGTTCAAAATCCAGGCAGCCATGTAGCATTGGATAATAGAAACACGACAAGGTATAATACAAGTATATGTTGTAGAATAAAAAAAAACAAAAGCAAGGACGACGGAAGACTTACGAATCAGGTGCGCAGACCAGAACCTCGTAGAGATTGGTGGAGACCAAGACCTGAACAAGAGCTCTTAAGCCGGGAGCATCAATCCCGTCGTCGTTGGTTACCATGATTACCGGCCGAGTACTGGAGTCCCGAACACCCTCCATTTCCGTTTAGAAGGAATTTCGATCACAGTTGGAAGGTTGGATGAGAAACGGAAAAGGGAACCGCCCGCCGCTTTGAGTACAAACTACAAATTATGAAGAGGCTCTGGAGGGAGATTTCGCGGTAGTAGCAGTGGTTTTTGCCCCCGGTCGTAGTAGAAGTTGTTGTTAACCGACTTTCTGTTTATAATACATTAATGGTTTTTAACTTGCGCATTAGTCATTAGCGCAAGATCTCTCGACCGTCGATCTATTGATAACAAGGCTTCTCTTATGTGGGCTCCATTGACTATTGACAAGACACCTGAAAGAAGGGTGATCCGGTTACTTTTCATTAGATCCTTTCTCTCGACACAAATTCAAAATCATCGTTATTCGTTAATGTGTTCGACTGTTCTCTGCGTTTTGCTGACGCACATTCCTCTTTTGGAGTTGGAATCTCTTTCAAAATCGCAAATCAGGTCAGGAGAGCTTAGTCAATAGATGGTTTGTCACGGGGAAGTTGCAGGTAGAGTGCCCTCAGAACGGAACGGGATCTGCTCCTCACACATAGGCAAGTCGGTGTGAGCCGCCCTGTGTGAGCAGCAGATCCGGTCTCCCTCAGAACTCCCCTCGTCGATGCATTCAATGCCAAGATTGACACGTCTCTGAACTGGAATTCTTTGATTGGACCGAGCCACCGAAACAAGAAGAGTTGTCATGACTTTTTACACAAATCGGTAGCGCAATCTTAAAAATGCACATAATTTTCCCATGGGGTTTATATAATATAGTCTATATAAAAAGCCCCAGATTGGACTTTTTGAATAAAAAATGACCAAGTTTAATCAATTAAAAAATTCATATATGTTGAAAAGTTAATTGCAAAAATGGTGAATGAGAAGAAAAAAGTTTTTGTTAGAACTAAATTGCCCCCGATCTAAAAAATACTTGTGGAACCCGTGCTATATACTAACTTTGTTAAACGAAAGCTAAACATGTACGTAATTGTTTTATATTTTAAATTTTAGATAATTAATAAATATTTATATTTTATATTTTTTTTAATACAAAAATAACAATAATTAATTTTAGATAAAGTTGTTCATTAAATTGATGAAATTGACCAAATTGACCAACCCAATTTGGTTGATTTTTCTTCACCAACCAAAACCGAACCAAGTTAGTTAGTTTCTAATTACCCGGTCTTTTCCTAACTAGGTAATTCCTATCCTAGTTTCTTCTTTCTAGTTAGTTACTTATTCTTAACATTAAAGAACAATAAAACATTAGTTAAATGGTAATTACTTTTGTCTTTATGATTATTTTTCTTTTTTGAGTAGGAAATTTTACACTAAATCAGGGTTGTTCACAAATAATGCCAAATCGACCAAACCCAACCAAGGCAAGCGGTTGATATATATATATATATATATGGGAAAACTCTCATACTACTTAGTCTAAAATATGTTATATTATAAATTTATTTTTAATAATATTGTAATTTTTAAAATTTAAATCTTCTAAACCAACTAATCAAACAAAAAACCTAACCAAACCATTATCACTATTTTCAACTCCGCATTGGCATAGCTTTTTGAACCATTCAAACTGTAACCTAGCCTTAATTCCACGCCTAGTTCTATTAAAACCCACCCTTAGGTCAAAACCGTTGACCCGCTAAACCCGGTCACTAGGTCACGAGTTGCACACTTAATGCATATGCAAAGTTCATGAAGCCATAATTTTGCACTCTAGTGTCCGATTGAGGTGATCTTTTTTGTTTCATGTTGGGTAAGTTTTTGAGATCTATGCGTCCCATGGGTGCCTTGCCCCGCTATTTTCACAAAAAAAAACCTTTTTGGTCTCATTTTTTTTAAGTTTAAATATTTTGAACCAACTGACCAAAACCGATACTAGTGTTTTCAACCCGTCACCCAGCCTTGATTCTGGGTCAGGTTCTATTGAAACCTACCATTTGGTAAATACTGTTGACATTGTAAAAATTTTGAACAGCTAAACTTGCATTTTAAGGATAATTACCAGGAATTGCTGATAATATTAACACTTTATTGATAATTTCTGGTAATTTTGAATATTATCGATAATTTACCAATAAATAATTCAAGGAAAATTAAATTAAATTAACAACTAATGTTTGGTAACTGTTGATAATATTAACAATTTTACTCTATTAATAATTAACATAATTTATAATAATAAGTTTGGTAAATTCTAATTTAATAGTAATAATCATTAACAATATTTACGATAATAATTATAAATTTAATAAACACTGAAGATAAAAGTGTGGATGTAATGTGAAGCTTTTTGTGAACTAAAATTGCCATCTACTTCTTTGTCTTAGAAAGGGTATAAAAGTCATTTTAATGCCAGCTTTAATGGCTAATAAAATGCCTATATTTGTATATTTAATCCATCTCTAATTATAAGGGTTGAAAATGTAAATTCAATTATTATTTTCCACCTCATTTAATCCCCTCTCATTAAGTCATATTTAAAGTATTAAATCCCATTTTCTTTTATTAAATCCTATATTTTAATTTTTCACTAATAAATGCCACTAATTAGATCTATGTTAATATTTTTAACAATATAATACCATATATTTTAAAACAGACTAAAAAACAAAACCATTTTTTATCCAAGTGGTGGTTGAGCAATTCAACCATCCCAATCAAATTAATCAACATACGAAGTCATAGTTAGATAATAAAATTTTGAAAATAGAAGTAAAAATAGAAAATTACAAAAAATATAAAAAAATTAGACGCATTTATGATATTTTTATTAATTAAAATATAAAATAAGTATAATAAACATGAATTATTTTTATTGATAATGAAAATGAAATACATAATTTAGAATTAACCAAAAATGAAACATAAAAATTAATAACAAATAGTTCAACTTGGGTTAAATGTGTTAACCTTTAATGCCATAAACAAATAACAAAAAGGGAAAATTTCTTAAACTACCCTTACAAATTGACTATCTTTACCCTTACTGTTTAACTATTGTCTTGCATCACCCCTATTGTTTCAAACAATTGACTAGCTCTACTCCTACCGTTAATATCCGTTAATGTTCCGTTGAAATTCATACACACGTGACACCATGCGACATATAAATTTTCTTTAAAATCTAATTTTGCCCTTCGTCCCTCTCCCTTCTTCTTCACTATCCCTCTCCCCGGCAGCAACTACAATGAACCACTCCTTGATGGTCATCGGTGGTGCAACCGTTCCATTCCCTGTCTTTCACTATGATCGAGCTGAAAAACTATTGCAAATTCTTTTTTTATCAATCCTCTATTTTCTTTTATGCTACAACAATCAACCGGCGTTCTCTGGCGTAACTCCGACGTCTGAACCCAACACAATAGAACCCGCAGTTTCCGTCTCCAGCAATCCACAAGCTTAAGCTAACTGAGCTCTTTTGTCCACATCCACTATAGAGAGAGAGAGAGAGAGGCCCGCAGTAGTGGCAGTGATGAAACGGGGGTGAGAGGAAGAGAGAGAACAAAGGGGAAGGGGCGAGAGAGAGAGGGAGAGTCGTTGCTGCAAGTTGCAGTAGCGATGGTGATGAGGAGGCGGCAGACGGTGGATTCAACGCAGTGAATCAATCTTCTTCGATTTCTGAATGGTCATAGTGAGCTGAGCTATTACTATTAAGGAGGAGGTGGTTGGCATGAATTCAATGCCATAGTTGACATCCTAACCCATTACCATTACAGAGGCCAGAGTTGAGCTAAGCTAGCTCTCTCATCAATTTGTATACGTTCTTGAATTCGAATTTCGTTCATCGCTCTCTGTCTCTCAACTCTCTACTCTCAATCTCTCACCAAAATTCCAATGTCCTTGCCTTCTACTTCATCGACTCTCTTCGCCATCTCACCTCTTCATGTCATCTTCGCTTCTCTTAATTGTTATTGTTGTTATCTTTAGTTTTTTCGGGCTTTATTCCTCAAACAACTAGTTTTTTGGGGTTTAATAGGAGGGGAATTGCAGCTTTCCAATTCGATCTTCTACGACAAATTTTATTTTCAAGCTTCACAAGACATACCCTCAGTTCCATGCTTTAAGCAACAATGGTTCATCAGTTGGGTTTTATTTTGAAATTCAAGGAATAGTGGAGGGAAAATTCGACATTTCATTTCTTTCTGTTAGCACTTAATGGCGATGTCAACTTTTTGAAACAGTAAGGATACTTTAAGACCATATGTAAACAATAAGGGTATAGTTAGTCAATTATCTAAATAGTAGGGGTAGTTTAATAAATTTATCCTAATAAAAATTAATAAAATAAAAAATACATAAAATTTGCAGGTGTGATATATTACAGTTATTTTTACACCCAAAAATACAAAAAAAATGTAGAAAAATTGAGCACATGTATAGTTTTATATTTATACTACTATTAAAATATGAATAAGATCGTGGAACTTTTTTTTTGAATAAAATACTCATTTTGAATTTAGTCCCTATTTAATTGTAAGATTTAAATTGTAAATTGAACTACAACTTTTCACCTCATTCAATTTATTTATTTAAATCTTACATTTTTTTTATAAATGAACAAAAAAAGATGTACCAAAAAGAGAAAACACTACAAAAAGAAGAGTCTAGACAAGCAAGTAGGTTTGTCTGTCAATGATACTTAAAACTTTACAACTCAATCCGATTATCACATATTTGGGTGAGGTATTTATGTAATCAAATTTGGATTTTTCCATTTGCATTTGATAAATAATAAAAATATAAAAAATATAAAAACAAAAAATAAAAAATACATAAATTTTATAGAAAGAATTGGATATATTATTAGTATCATTATCATCATCTAAAATTTCCACGTGCAAAGCATGTGCATGCTTACTAGCTCGACACAACCTGAAAAAGTAGATCGCAACACAACCTGAACTCATCCAATATTGAGTGCTAATTCCTCAACCCAAGCACCATTGTTTGAGCTAGCTCAGTATGGATTGGATTATGAGGTTAAAAAACTTAAGAAAAATATAAATAACGGACAGTTATATTGCAATGAGGAAGGCTTGGCCTTTCTCAAAGGTGAAGAAATAAGGTTTTGAACATAAAACAAGTAAAATGATGAACCCAACAAGTATGGCACTTAGCCCAGGTAAGGCCAAGCCTAGATGTCTAGACACAAGAACTAGGGCAATCCAAGACAGTAATGTTCTTAATGCCCTAGTGCTGCAACTTAGGGGGATCCACTCTTAACCTTAATGATCAATAAGCCCCCCCCCCCTAAGTTCCTGTCAAACAACTTAAGGAAGTGGGTTTATTTGTTTCAATTTCAGATAAGATGAATGGATTTCCTTGTCACTTGGTAAGTCCAATCCATTCTTGCGACCTATCCATTGTGGACATGGAAAGCTGTTTGTTTTATAAGGGAGGAGGTCAGGAGGTTCTGATGCTTCTTTTTCGCTGCAGTTTGGGGGGTTTC